TCTGTATCCGGGACTTTGTTATCTTTGGTGCTGGATGGGGTAGCACTGCCCCAGACAGACCTAGTGCATAATCTGGGGGTCCTCCTAGACTCACAGCGCCTGCTTGAAGAGCAGGTGGCAGCCGTGGCAAGGAGGGCCTTTGCACAACTTTGGGTTGTGCATCAGTTACACCCTTTCCTGGATTGGGATGTCCTTCGAACAGTTATTCATGCCCTTGTTATCTCCCAGATAGACTACTGCAATGCGTTGTACATGGGGCTACCCTTGAAGAGTATCAGAAGCTACAGCTGGTCCAGAATGCAGCCGTGCAGGCTATTTTTGGAGCCCCAAGAAGGACCCATGTAATGCCATTGCTCCGTGAGCTGCACTGGATACCAGTTTGCTTCCAGGTCCAATTCAAGGTGTTGGTTATCACCTTTAAAGCCGTACATGGCATGGGACCAGGTTACCTAAGGGACCGCCTCTTCCCCATGATTTCAATCAGTCCCACCCGATCACACAGAGAGGGCATGCTTCGGACCCCCTCAGTAAAGGAACTTCAATTAGCAGGGTCCAGAAGGCAGGACTTCCCTGTGGTAGCCCCTGCTCTTTGGAACATTCTGCCCCCGGAGGTGAGATTGGCCTTCCGAAGGGCTTTGAAGACCTAGTTCTGCCACTTGGCCTGGGGTGGGGAGGGAATACCTCAAGCATGGGGATGGCTAGCCCCATAGAGGCCTGCTGTCTTCAGCCCCAGATCCTTCATTTTCTTGAATTGTCTTCTTTTTTAGTACTGTTTTTAAATTTTATGTTTTATGTATTTATATGTATTTATGGTTTTAATGTTTTATGTGAGCCGCCCAGAGTCCCCCATTGGGGGGAGATAGGCAGGGGAGAAATTTAATAAATAAATAAATAAATATAGGTGCAAGAAACCCCACTGGAGAGAACAGAAAACAGAGTTTGTTTTATGGGCACACAGAAAATGTTGTAGACGTATGGAGCAGAAAGATTTTAAAAAGGGGGTTCTATATCAGATTAACCGTAGGCAAAGCAAAGATAGAGGAATATTAAAAACACAACCAAAGATCTTTTGTAACAGGATCAATCTGAGGTATTACTTTTAATTTAGTAATTTAATGTAATTAATATAGCAGACATGGACTGCATCAAAAAAATAACCTGCTCCTCTTTCTTCTTATCTCCCCCATACTTTCTGTTTCAGTACTCTGCAGAAAATGATGCTGTTATGCATATGCATTTTTCAATCCCAGTAACTAACAGCCAGTAATGTAAAGAAAAACTCATGAGACAACAATGTCCCAGTAACCATTTTACTAAAATTAACATTTTATTTTAGCAGATCAAGACATGGGAGAAAATGGCTTTGCTAAATGAGATTATTTGAAACTGATATCCTTGTTCACACATAGGCATGTAGTGTTGCAGGAGGGCAGGGGGCTGGCCAGACAAGGAGAAAACCTCTTGTTTGAGTCAAACTGAGCCATACAGTTGTTGTGGGGAAAATGCCCACTTAAACCAAGAAGATAGATGGAACAAAATATTTTTCCCAGCATGTACAACTACAGTGAACCCTGAACTCTCAGCCAAGAAAGTCCAGAAGAGCTTTGAACTAAGAACACTTGTAAGTTATATACCCCCAGAAATATTACATAGGAAGAGTTTTTTTTAAAAAAGGCGATATAATTCATACTGGAACCTGTACAGTTGGAATGTAGCATCTGATAATACCATGGGATGACTTTCCTATGGCTATCACAGTCCCTCTACATTCTTCTCTACTAGTGGGACTATAACCTGCCCTAATTACAGATACCAACACCATGTACCATAAACAATGGCATTTATTGTGCTCATATAGTGCCTTTCTTCACACCAACAGTTGTCTCCTCTTTCTCCAGGGTCATCAGACAGTTTTGATTTGCCTGCTTTCCTCATGCTTATGCCATGCACAAGCTATCATACATGACAACCCTCCACACCATTTACCTAGGGAAAAAAGGGGGGGGGGAGTGTGCAAGTAAATATAAAGGCAGAGCCCCAGCTGTGGTTCTGGTTACACACTGTCTTTATTTGGGGGGAAAAAACCTTATTAGTGGTGTAATTTCTATAGCTGATTATCAATCTAGCCAATTAATGCCTGGCACTTAGATTGGTTCTGGTGCTAAAAAGGGGGGGATGTGCTAGGTTGGATTCTGAGTATTATACAGGTGGTCCTCATTTAGTGACTGCAACTGGTTCCAGTGAAATGGTCACTAAGTGACACTGTTGCTAAGTGAACCATGTGAAAGGGAGAGACACTGGGAAGATTGCTGGTTGCTGTATTACTCCCATCTTATTCAGATAGTTCTCTGTACAGTGTCCTGTGCCTGACCCATTTTTCCCCCTTTTTTGCCTCTTGTCAGAGTGGAGAGTTTGCTTAAACAAGCTACCTCTTCCTGAGTTGCTTTTCTCCACAGCACAGCACTTGCAAACCACAAGTTAACAAGCTCAGCTCTGTGACCTTAATTAGTTGACTAGAACCCTGCTGCCAGAAACTGACCAGACTTTAATCAGTTTCATGCTGAAGACTTTTGTTGTGGTAAAACCAGGCATTAGTCACAAAATCACTTTTTTATCACTATTGTAATTGCAAACAGTTGCTATTGGAGGCAGTCAAACAAGGACTACCTGTATAAGGCTTTCTACTTTTCTAATAGGAAATAGTAAATAAATAGTAAAATTCACAAGGCTGTAGCTACAGTGGGGCAAAAAAGTATTTAGTCAGCCACCAATTGTGCAAGTTCTCCCAGTTAAAAAGATGAGAGAGGCCTGTAATTTTCATCATAGGTATACCTTCATCTCAGTACTTTGTTATATATCCTTTGTTGGCAATGACAGAGGTCAAACGTTTTCTGTAAGTTTCATCTCAGTACTTTGTTATATATCCTTTGTTGGCAATGACAGAGGTCAAACGTTTTCTGTAAGTTTCATCTCAGTACTTTGTTATATATCCTTTGTTGGCAATGACAGAGGTCAAACGTTTTCTGTAAGTTTCATCTCAGTACTTTGTTATATATCCTTTGTTGGCAATGACAGAGGTCAAACGTTTTCTGTAAGTTTCATCTCAGTACTTTGTTATATATCCTTTGTTGGCAATGACAGAGGTCAAACGTTTTCTGTAAGTTTCATCTCAGTACTTTGTTATATATCCTTTGTTGGCAATGACAGAGGTCAAACGTTTTCTGTAAGTTTCATCTCAGTACTTTGTTATATATCCTTTGTTGGCAATGACAGAGGTCAAACGTTTTCTGTAAGTTTCATCTCAGTACTTTGTTATATATCCTTTGTTGGCAATGACAGAGGTCAAACGTTTTCTGTAAGTTTCATCTCAGTACTTTGTTATATATCCTTTGTTGGCAATGACAGAGGTCAAACGTTTTCTGTAAGTTTCATCTCAGTACTTTGTTATATATCCTTTGTTACCAAATACTTATTTTCCACCATGATTTGCAAATAAATTCTTTAAAAATCAGACAATGTGATTTTCTGGATTTTCCCCCCCATTTTGTCTCTCATAGTTGAGGTATACCTATGATGAAAATTACAGGCCTCTCTCATCTTTTTAACTGGGAGAACTTGCACAATTGGTGGCTGACTAAATACTTTTTTGCCCCACTGTATAAGAGAGCCTCACAATCTTTTCTGCGTGAACAGAAGTATCTTTCATTCACATAAAAATTCTTAACCATCCTTGTTTAAGGTTACTTAATTCTATAGATTACATACCATTTTGTAATAATATGATTCCATTATTTATTTAATTCCTTAATAGTTCCTAATAATCTTTTACCTAACTAGCTTTTGTCTTTTATTTTTCAGTATGATTGGTGTTCCTGGATTCCAAATGCTCCTCCAACTATGCGCTGCCCACCACCTACAGAAAAGGGGGAAACCACCATTGAATACATCATCAAGAGTTTACCTGACAGAGGACGGTCTTGTTGGCATCTTGGTGCTGTTTGGGCTTTGAGTCAATTTCAGGAAAACGAAGTGAGACTTGTCTCAATATTTAAATGCATTTATTTATTTGTTTGTTTGTTTGTTTGTTTGTTTATTTATTACATAAAAGTAAAATTCAGGCTCCACATTCTTTCTGGAAAGTATGTTTATGGGTTTCATAGACTAGAGGAAAGTCTCAGTGTACCTGGACCTCAAGGAAAGTCTTTAATAGAGTGCTAAAAGATATTCTTATTCATAAAAGGGTAAAATATGGGCTGGATGATACTTCTATTACATGGACTTATAGTTAGCTGGATGAACACACCTAAAGAATGCTCATTAATGGCACTGCTTCAACTTGGAAGTTTCAAGTGGAGTGCCCCAGGGCTTTGGACCGGCCCTGTTCAACATTTTTATCAATTATTTGGATGAGGGAGTACACAGAACAATTCTAAAGTCTGCAGGCAACCCAAAATTTGGAGGGGTGACTAATACTTTAGATGGAAAAAAAATTCAAAAAGATCTAGACAGGCTTGAACAGTAGTCTGAAATGAATAGGATGGAATTTAATAGGAGGAAGTATAAAGTTCTGCATATGGATAGGAAAAACATAATGCCCCTATATAGGATGGACCAGAAACAATGAGTTAAAATTATAAGGAAGAAGGTTCAGGCTATACTTCAGGTGGAACATGCTGCCTGTACAAGTTGTCAGCCAGTAGAATAGGCTGTCAAACAAAATGGTGAATTCTCCTTCAGTAAACAGTTTAAAACAGAGGCTGGATGATTATCTATCAGAGAGAGGTTCTAGCAGGTGCACTTCTTGGGAGTTGGACTAGATCATTGATACAACATCTGTGGAACTCCTGCTAAAGAGGCCAAGTCAGCTAACGTTCAGCCTGCTCAGTTATGTAATGAACACTTTTAAGAAGCTTGCAAAGAATTTAACAACCCTCAGGAATGTTTAAATTCCTGTGATGTCCAAGAGCTGTACTTATTTCTAACCAAGAGATGAGTTGGATAGAGTCAATACACAACCAGACTAAAAGCCAAATATGCTTGGTCAATTAACTTAGTAGATCCTCCCCATCAGTAGAAATTGATAAAGAAATCTGTTTAGACCCCATTGTAAGCCTGTTCTATTCAAAGTAGCCAAGGGCATTCAGTTTTACATTCTACTGTTATTGTCAGGTACTGCAAACTTTAATCCCAACGAAACAAAAACATTCTCCAGAGACTCAGCCAATCCAAAAGAAAGTCAGTTTATTGAAGATTAGCATACAGTCCTTAGCAATAAAATTGCTGAAACTGAAAAGCCCATGCTAAGCAATTCATTCTTAACCCTTCTACTTGCCCCCCCTTTTCCCCCTTTAGTTTCTTAAATTTCTGGCACCTTCACTTGCGTTCTCACACCAGTACAACCTTGGCATTGTTGCAGCCTAGATAAAGCGAAGCCATCTGCACTAGCCGTTATATACCTTCTTGGCATTTCCACACACCCCCCCAGCTAATTATGGCAGAACTGAGCAAGCTAGCTATAGCATGAAACAAAGCAAAAAACTGCGAGGTTCTGACATTCCGCTCCTCCAGGAAAAAGGGATAAGTAACATAAGGAATCAAATCTGTAAAGAGAACAGAAGGAAAAAGAGGAAACGATGCATTATAACATGGTAATGCATTAGAACACACAAACAAAATGCAGTAACTTCACTTTATCTGGATACTTTTTATAAAACTTTGTAACAAGTTTAGGAGCATTTACTCCTAAAGTTCATCCATCTGCTCATAATATGATTTGGGAAAGTGTTTCCATTGTACTAGAAATTGTAGTTTTCCTTTTTGTTTACGAGAGTCTAGAATCTCTTGGACTTCAAAATGTTGCTCTCCCTCAATCACCATTGGTGTTGGCGGTGAGGGAGATGGATGCCATTTATTAGATTCTTTAAAGGGTTTTAACAAGCTACAATGAAATACGGGGCGAATTTCCTGTAAGTTTCAGGCAAAGTCAATCTGAATGATACAGGTCCAGTCACTTTCTCTATAGGGAAAGGTCCAATAAATTTAGGTCCTAGTTTTTTACAAGGCTGGATTGTTTTTAAATGCTTTGTACACACTTTATCTCCCACTTTCCAGGGTTTTTCAGGCAATCTTTTTCGGTCAGCTTATTTTTTATACTCTTTTCGCGGCTCCTGCAATGCCCTGTCAATGCTTGGCCACAACAAAGTCATCTGCTTAATCCAATCATCAGTCGATAGTTCTGGGGAATCTTTCAAAGATTCGGGATTGGCACAAAGTCTTGTCCTGTGGCTATTTTAAAGGGTGTGTAGCCAGTGCTTTGATGTACTGTGTTGTTATAAGCTACCTTGGGAAGAGGTAAAAGTTCTGCCCAGTCATCTTATTTGTAATTAGTAAAGCATCTTAAATATTGCTCTAATACGGAGTTAGTCGTTCCGAGGATCCGTCCATCTCTGGATGGTGCGAAGAGCTCAATGCCTGGGCGGAGCCAATTAATTTTAAAAATTCCTGCCAAAAGTTTGAAGTGGACTGGACACCGCGGCCACTGATTACTCTTTCGGGGGTACCGTGGAGGCAGTATATGTATGAACATCTTGGCCAAGCATTTTGCTGTTGGGATTGAGGTACAAGGAATAAAATGTGCCTGGTTAGAAAATAAATCAGTGACCACCCAAATAACAGTGTGGTTGTGGCTCTGAGGCAGTTCCACAATAAAATCCATAGCAATTTGCTTCCAGGGCTTACTAGGCATTACCACTGGTTGCAATAGTCCCATGGGTTTACCCCCTTTTTTCTTAGACATGGCACACGTAGGACATGACTTGACATAATCCATAATGTGTTTTCTCATGAATGGCCACCAAAATTGCCTACGAAGAAGGTGTAAAGTTTTAACAAAACCAAAGTGCCCAACAGTTTTGGCGTCGTGCCCTTTCATAAAGACTTGCTTCCAAAGCGATTCAGGCACATATAACTTGTCTCCACTCCACCACGCTCCCTTTTCTTCAGTTAAGGAGTTTTTATTGTTTAGAAACCATGCATTACCTTTGAGGGCTTCATTGAGTTGATTCAACAGTTCACTCTCGGGTGGCACTCATGGTTTTTTGCTTTGTGCTCTAGTGACCGCCACTAGACCTTCTTGGTTTCCAGGAATAACAGGAGCCACCACTTGTTCCCTTTTGCTGTTATGTTGAGGCAATCTGGAAAAGGCATCAGCTAGGAAATTTTTTCCCCCAGGGATGTATTTCAGCTCAAATTTGAATCTGCTAAAAAACTCAGCCCACTGAACCTGCTTAGGGGAAAGTTTTCTTGGTGCGGTTAGTGCTTCCAGATTTTTGTGATCAGTTCAGACTTCAGAAGGATGGCGCGCCCCTTCTAATGGATGGTGTCAAGTGAGCAGTGCCCAATGGACTACAAACACCTCCTTTTCCCAAACTAACCAGCACCATTCTGTGTCAGTGAATTTTTGGGAGATGTATGCACATGGCTGTAGGCAACCCCCTTCTGTTTTTTGTAGCAGCACTGCGCCAATAGTTACATCCGAGGCATCTGCTTGGATTACAAAGGGAAGTTCCAGATCAGGGTTTTTTAAAATAGGCTCTGCTGTAAACAGCGCTTTTAAATTTTCAAACACCACTTGGCATTCCTCTGACCACATCAAGGGGGCGCATGGGTTTTTAGCTTTTGCTATGTCCTTTCCCTTAGTTTTTAACAAGTCCATGAGGGGCAAAGTCACTTGAGCAAAATTGGGGATAAATTGGTGGTAAAAATTGGCAAAGCCTAAAAAACTCTGCAGCTGCCATTGGGTTTTTGCCAGTTCCCAGCCAATCACATCTTTCACCTTGGTGGGGTCCATTTCAATGCCCTGGTTCGAGATTCTATACCCCAAATAATCCACCTGAGTTTTGTGGAACTCACATTTTGACAGTTTAGCATACATTTGTGCTTCTAACAATTTTTTCAACACTTTCCTGACCCACTCCACATGCTCTTCCATATTATCAGAATAAATTAAAATGCCATCAAGATATACAGTACAAGCACCCCCCTCTACAAAAACTCATGCAAAACCTCATTAATTAATTGGATAAATACCCCCAGGGCACCCAATAATCCAAATGGCATGACTCGGTACTAATAACAGCCCAAAGGGCAACTGATCGCAGTCTTCCACTCATCCCCCTCTCGGATGCATACCCGGAAATAAGTGTCTCTCCAGTTTTGTAAAGATTTTCCCCTTCAACAACTGTGACAGCAAGTCCTTCATTAAAGGCAAAGGGTACTTGTTTTCTTTACAAATTGCATTCAACCCCCTATAGTCCGTGCATAACTGCAACGTTCCATCCTTCTTTTCTCTGAAGAGAACGGGTGCCACCATTTGCGATTTGGCAGGCTGTATAAAACCCCTGGCCAAGTTTTTATCCAAAAATTCCCTTAGAGTCTCCAACTCACGTGGAGTCATGGAATATGTTTTCCACTTGGGAAATTTTGCCCCCGGTTCAACCTCTGTAGCATAGTGTCTCTATGGGGGGATAGCTGATCCGACTCCACCTGACTAAATACTTCTGCCAAGTCATGGTATTGCTCCGGAATCTCGGGCTTGGAAGATGGTTGTTTGTTTTCTGTGCCCACCACTGCTATTACTCCTTTACCAGTCCCCTTGTCTGGCCTTGGATAAATGCCATCTTTAAAAACAATCCTGTCTGTTCCCCAGTCCAACTGGTGGCTTCCAGCGTCTAAGCCATGAGGCTCCCAAAATCAAGGGGTGGCCAGCTATGGGAGCGACAAGGCATTTTCTCACAATGGGTCCCAAGCCTAAGCTCAAACTCCTCAGTACAGTAGCGCACTGCCCCCCCACCTGCCGCTGACACATCTAATTGGTCAAACACTACCGGAACTTTTAACTTCCACACTTGCAGTCCCAGTCCATTCACAAATACAGGGCTAATTAAGCTCTGGGAAGATCCTGAATCTATTAAAGCAGTCAGATGGGCGTTGCAGGTCATTCTTAGGGCTCGGATTTTCACCCCCAGAGTCAGGACACTCACCCCATCGTCCTCGTCATCACTTTCCAGTTCCTCATCTGCACACCACTGCTCTCCCACCTGGGCCCTGGCGTGCCTTAGGGCAGGTGGCTGGCATTTCCCGCCAACTGTTCTTCCTCCTCCAATGAGTTGTCATTGAAAATCACCAGATCGAAGAATTCCTTGCTCACTCCCGGCACTGCCAAGCCTCCCTTTTTTGTTCCTGGACCCATGGTTGACTTTTTAGATGTTTTCGGAGGGGCAGCCAAGCACACAGCTCTGAGTTTAGGGCAGGTCGCTGCAAAATGCCCGGGGTCCCCACACTTGAAACAGGTTCGCTCCCTAGGGCACCTCTCTGGGATAGCGGGTCTTGGCTTGGCCAATGGTTTTTGGGGCCCTGGCAGTGGGGTGCCCACCGTTTTCTTGAACTCCGGATCTACCGCCAGCCAGTCAGCCTCCACCTCAGCAGCCAAAACGATCCAGCCTTCGAGGGTCAGTGGGTTTCCTCAGGAGTAAACCAGTTGCCAAATGTCCCATCTTAAGCCCTTCTGGAAGTACGACACCTTGAATTGCTCAGGCTAGTCACGGAACTTACGCACCAAGCTTCGGAATTCCAACATATAGTCAGCCACACTGCGGGTCCCCTTATATGGTTATATAGCACCATTAAGGCTTTCATTATAACCCCCGGATCTTCAAACCTCCTTCGCAGGGCTCTCATAAATCTCAGAAGGTTGTTGACCTTGGGTCCTCAGGCTTCATGCATCTCTATGAGCCAATTCGATGCACATCCCACCAATGCCCTGGAAACGTAGAACACCCACTGCGTATCATTGGCAAAAAAGTGGCCACAGTTCTCGATGCAGATATTCATGCTAGCCAGGAAACTCGACAGCCCCCATGGGTCCCCATCATAGGTTCTCATCAAACCCCATTCCTTTAACGCCTCCGCCTGGGTGGTGGCCGGCCACACCACCATGGGTTGAGCCGGCGGCGCTGCCAGTGGTGGCACTGCTGGTGGGGCCGGGGGTTGTGGCTGAGGGGGTGGTCCATCTGGAACACGCAGGGTATCCTCGACATCTTCCATTGCGTTTTCCCCCGCTAGGTCTGGGTCCCTTGCACCCAAGGACCTCCAGATCATTTCTCCAATCCTTCTCAACTCTCCCCTCATGATGGTGATGTCTGCTTGCAGGAACCCAATTCTTGTGGAATCTGCTCACCCCACTGCCGGGGACCAGCACTCCTCTGCTTCGATGCTCAGGAACGAGGCTTTGCCATAATCCTCAGGGACCCTCCATGCCTGCACTTTCCTCCTTTCCCTGTCCCCCCTCAAAGTTAGGTGGGACAGGGGTCTGGAGAGTCCTTCCAATTCCTCTTCTGCACTATCGACCACTCCGAGTTCAGTAATTTCCTCTTCCGTCCTGGTAGCGTTTGCTGGCACCAAGGTTGGGGTCTCCGCGATGGGAAAATCCCTCAGTGGAGACTCCAGCGTTTAGGGAGTTTCAGCAAACTGTCAGGCACTCCAAACTCACTCCCCTTTTTCCCCCTTTAGTTTCTTAAATTTCTGGCACCTTCACTTGCTCTCTCACACCAGTATGACCTTGACATTCTTTCAGCCTAGATAAAGCGAAGCCATCTGCACTAGCCATTATACACCTTCTTGGCATTCCCCCCCGCCAGCTAATTATGGCAGAACTGAGCAAGCTAGCTATAGCGTGAAACAAAGCAATAAATTGCGAGGTTCTGACAGTTATTTTGCTGGAATGCAAAAAGAACAAGAAACCTCTGCTATTTATAAATTTAATATAATATAATATTAATATTAATATAAAATGTAATATATATTAATTAATATAATGTAATAAAATTTAATATAATATACACTTATAAATTTAACAAACAAACTTGCTGTAGCACTGCCTTAAAGGCTTGTGAAAAAGTAAGCCTATAGGTGCATAATGAAGAAAACTGAAGAAGGGAGAGAGATATCTCCTACTGTTTTAGTCTTTTTTGGATTCTAAAGGAAAATCTGAATCATAATTGCTTCACAAAAATGGCCATCTCTGTCATCCACATTAATATGTATTGCTCTGAGCCTGGATCTACATAGATACTGGTGGAAAATGACAACATTTCTACAGTATGAGGAGGACTTAACTGTGAGCAATAACTTCTTATGCTCTTTTTCTGGCAATTTGCTCATTGACTGGAAGCTCTCTTGCCTTCCAAAGCCAGGAAGGGGCAGTTGTTTACAGTTGACTTAAAGATACAGTAGCTGCTGTAATAAGTGGCTATATAAGTGGAATACATTTTTCTTTTCATGTGCCATCTAGTGCTTTGAGCTGACTTTGAATGTAATCCAAAATACAGAAATTTCATAGTGCATTTTTGTTATTTGCTATTTGTATTTGTTTTGTATAGTATCTCATTAGCTATATACATTATGCTTGGTTTATAACGTTAAGTTTGCAAATCAGTCTGAGTTTCCTTCCATATAAATTTGTTGTACACAGTAAATTATAGCAGAGATTAAGAGAGAAAGAGAGAGAGAAAAACAGCATAGAGGAACAAAATTAAAGTAATACATGGTTTCCCAAAGGTTCTGACAGGCAATAGTGGTAGTGATAGTTAAACTCATTGGTCAGTTGACTATGTTATTATTAGAAAATCCATCACAGTAGGCATCACTTCTTTAGTTTTGTTGCTATATGTAATGTAAATGTGCAATGGTTGTTGCCAAATGTACATTGTAATTTAATTGTAATAATTTACTTCTATATGTAATGTAAATGTGTAATGGTTGTTGCCAACATCAAAAATACCAAAAATGTCATTGTGTCATCATATTAATTTGAATTGCTCTGAATTGATTCAGAACCATTGTATTTGTTTAATTTGTTCGTTTGTTTTATTAGGGGGTCACCCAACTGCCAGACAACTCTGGGCAGCTTACATCCAAAGATGTACCACACTTTCTCAGTAGAGACCCCTGCTCTTTGGAATACCCTTCCCCCTAAGATCCGGCAGGCCTCTAGTTTCCTAGTCTACTGAAAAGCTTTGAAGGCCTGGCTTTCTTTACAAGCATTGTGGTGAGACTAGAGCCCAGTAAAGCTCTTTATGGATGTGTGAAGATGTGATATGGTTGAGGCACCCAGAGTTTTTGGGTTGTTTTTTGTTTGTTTGTTTGTTTTTACTGGCAGCCACCCAGGGTTATGTTGCATAAGATGGTAGTTATATAAATTAAGGAGGGCAGGCAGGCAGACAGGCAGGCAGGGAGGCAAGCAATGAAATAGAAAAAAGAAAAAAATCCAATTCAGAAAATTAATTTTTCAATCTTTGAATTGAATCTCTGAATTAAATTTTGGCACTATAGCACATATAAAATATGTAAATGTAAACAGACTAATGTAATGACAACAATAAGAACAACCAGCTTCAGAACTGATAACAATAGCATTGAACTAGCATTGAGCTTTTGTGTTTTAGGTTCAGTCTTCAACAGCAAAGGATCCAGCAACTAGCACTGAAGGTCTCAAAAAGATAGCTAAATGCTGTGATATGTCTATACAAAGATTAGAATTGTTCAGGCAATGCTTTTACATGTGACTATGGATGTGAAAGCTGAACTTAGAAGAAGCAGGATAGAAAGAGCATGGACCCATTTCAATTTAGATCCTGGATAAGAGTTTTAAGGAATTCCTGGACAACTAGGAGAACAAATGGATCATAGAACAAATGAAGCTGGAATTTTCACTCAAAGCACTAATGACCAGGCTCCAGCTATCATAATTTGAAGGCATCTATGCAAAGACCCAGTTCCTTTAAAAAGTCCATAATCTTGGAAAAGTTGGAGGGAAAGGGGGAAGGGGATGGTAGCAGCAAGATGGATGGACTTGATTATAGCAGCAGTGAATGCATCAACAAAAGACCTAAAAGCCCAAGTTGAAGACAGATAATTCCAGAGAGAATCTCTCCATGTGGTCATTAAGAGGTGGCACCAACTTGATGGACTTAATAATATATTTACTATATTCTGATTATATCATTTATAAAACTTCTTGTCAACTTTTTCCAATATATTGCATTTTTTGTCTTCTCCAACCAGGTGTTTCTGGGGATATATCCAGATGAACACTTCATAGACAAGCCAGTGAAAGAAGCCATAAGGAAATTCCGCAAGAGTCTTGATGGAATTACCAGTTATATTGCTGAACGTAACAGGAACAAAAAACTCCCCTATTATTATCTTTCCCCAGATCAAATTCCTAATAGTGTGGCTGTCTGATTTTTTAAAAATGAAGAATCAGTGTAACCAGTCAAATGGAAAATTATCTACAGCAGAAAAGACCATTAATAAGAACAGAAACTTAATTTTTACTTGTTTAAGTTTTAGAAAGCACTTGTATAAAAACTTGCTACTATGCTATCTTTTCAGTAAGATAAAGTACCATAACAGCTACATATTGCTGACTACAAAAAATTGAAGGTACTCTGATTTGTAAACTACTGTATAGACCAAACGTGTATCTCTGACCTTCAAATGCTTTTGAACTATGCAAACAGGCCAGCATGATCAGTGGGAAGGATACCAAGAGCAGCAATATGTGAAGGGCCACAGTTCTCAAGCCCTCACTAAGAATAATTTCCATTTCTCTACTGCAGATGTAGAGAATCAGTAATGATATGCTTTAAGTAATTTTTCAGTTCTGTTTTGTGGAGATTCATTATCATACGCTATTTTTGCATTCTGATTTTCATATCTTGAGTAATTCAGCATTTTTCTTGACATCAATAAAATTTATAAGTTTCTGCCATCAATAATGTATCTTTTTTTTTTAATTAAAGGGTGCTATTTTTTATCAATGCAGCATACCTTTGCCACATTCAAGAACTCATTTCTGAATGACCACTATCTGTAGGTAATTATTATGTCTCTGTATTTTCTGCATTCCATTTTTCATTGATTTCCTCTGTAGCAAATGCAGGGAAATTTGATTTCAATAGATACAGAAAGAGCAAAAGGAAAGTTAACCTGTTCATTAAAAAAAGGCATGATAAAAATATAACAATAATAAATAAATAATAACAACTGAAGCCGATTGTGTGGATGGTTTCCCCCATTAAAAGAGGAGAAAGTGGCTTTTATTTTTTGCATTTGTATTTTGTTGTCTGTGTTTTATCCTCCAAAACTGGCTGGAAAGTAGGTAAGAAGACTCATGCACCAGGCTGGTACCAAAAGATCTAGTGAATCTGAACAGCAAGCCAAGATCAGGGAAGGAAGGGTGCAGCAACACTGTAAAAGTATTCGCTGAGCCAGACGCCTGGCTGGGTCTTTCTGCCTGATGACAAATTGTGCCTCGATGGGCTGAGGAGGGATGTACATCTCAACCTCTATCTGAGGGGACCGTGCCAACTCACCTCCCCCAACTGCTCCAAGTTCCAACCCGGCAATGTTCGCTTCCAGTTGCAGCAACTCCCGGTCCTCCTTGGGCGGTTGTTTGGCCGACAGCATCTCCTGCTCCTCTGAGGCCATTGTAGTTTGCTGGAGTTTCCTTGATGAGTTGTGCTCTCGGGTAAAGTCCAGTATTCAGGGAGTTTTAGCAAAATGTCAAGCCTACAATGTCCAAATCCCAATCCAGAAGAATTCTCATGAAACCAGGCCTGGTTCAGATAAAAACTCCTTATTGGATGGTATATCCAGCTCTAAGCAAAGCATTGCTAAAACTAAAGCCCGCGTAACTTTCCCTCTACTTTTACCCTTTCTCTCCCCCTTCTTTGGTGCCAGATTTCTTTTTCACTGTCTTCTTTCATTCCCCCCCCCCCCCCCCCGTTACAAATGGCAGAATCAAAGCAAGCAAACCCAGCATTTATTATCCCCAATAAGTCCTTTTTTGGCTATTCCTTCGATTGCTGCAGGTTCTGACAGAGGGTCTCACAAGGAAGCAGGACACCTCAAACCATCACACTATGTGTGCACTCGCCCTTTTGAACCACCTGTAATTATACTGCCACTCTGTCCCGTGGTCCCAATTCTGTATTTATGTCTCAAAATCAGATAATAGTATATGTCTCTGATATCCTATACTCCTGTAAAAGCTGATGTTGCAATGTATGTATTATAGTGCCACCAAAATTTTTCTGGATATGTACTAAATATATGGCTGACATAATGACTCCATTTTAGATTGAAATGAATGTTTGTGGAGGTCCCATTCCCTATACATGCACTCCAAATGAAAACAAGGATATGTGATATCCTTTAAATGAATCAAAATGCCATACTTGCAGGTCTATTCCAAGTTGAACTGTGATGTTATAAAAAGTTAATAAAGTTTAAATCCATATAGCTACTCAGAGTCTACAGCAGTTACCACAATTTTTTAGAGAAATATATCCATATTTGGAATGCTTCTGCTATTATGCTGGATCGTACTTCCATCCATTCATATAACAAATTAATTTCTTCCATTAAAAGCAGTTTTCAGTGCTGCTTGCTATAATCAGAGCTGAAAAATTTAAGTCCAAAAATGTGTATGCTCATAATGATATGTAACAACTCAATGGGAGCAAGACTGAGATTTTGCTTCTCACTGATGGTACAATCAAAAGGGAAGTCTGGAGAGATAATTTATTCTTTAATCTGTCCACCTGTCACAGATATTAGGCACCAATCAAAATAGTTTCTGGATGGTTGGTAAAAGAAAGAGGCAAATACCTTAATTTTGATGATACCTGGCACCTAAATTTCCAGAAGATTTCTCAGAGTAATTACATATAAATGCTAAATAGTTTGACAGAATCATAGAGATGATCAACTTTACTCTGTACCCCACCTCCCAGCTCAGTACGGAAGTCCAAATTAAAACATCCAAAATCTGTAGCTGTCTCACTGTAGTTTGAACCCATTTAGTCACCACATCTGAAGGTAACTGAAGGTAAAAACTTTTTTTTTTCTAACATTCAGATAGAATCTGCCTGCCTTTAACTGAAATCTAACTGTACATTGTGTACACTCAGGAACAATAGAAAACAACTCTTGACTTCTCACCTTGCAGATATCTGAACGGCCATATGTAGAGGCTGTGGAGGGGTCTTAACCCCCCTCTCACAGAAATCCTCTTGGATTTACACATGTCTAAACTCTCCAGTCCCAATTCTCTGTCTTCTCAGCAAAAAGATGTAACATCAGAGCTGTCCCAAGCCACAGGGCACAACAAAAGCAGTGTGGAATAAAGCACTGGGAGAAGAAAAAGGTGACAGAAATACCTCAAAATGGCCACTGTCCCCTGTGGCTGGACAGACAGCAGCCACCAGATACAGGTTCCTATTCTTGCAGGATCACCAAGCGGCTTCTGTTTCCGCTGCTGTCCCAATCTCAGACAACCAAAGATCTTGACCACCACACAACCTGGCATACCTAGGCCAGTACCACCACAGAGACTTCCTGGATGCAGTACAAGGAGAGCAACTATCTCCACACCACTGCCACTGGTGTTGCAAGCTACATGACGTCCTTCAGTCCATAGCTGCCTTCCTTCTAGCAATGCACTCTCTGTGCCACCAGCAAACTGTAGTTAAAAAAAAAAGGCTGCTGTGCTACTGCAACCTCTCTGCTGGAGCCCAATATCCACTTCTCTAGCACTAGGATCGACTGTGGGCCTCTACCAGCTGCCAGATCCCTCCAGAGATCCCCTTCTCCCTGGGGGAACTCCTCCCCCCCCAACTTCCAACAGGCACTGTTCCTCGTTTTGCAGTGGGATAAAAAAAAAACCCAACTTCATGATCTCACAGAGGCCCACCCTCACATCCCAACACTTCTAGTGACCATTCTCCTTCTCCACATACTGAGTCACTCACAATCACTAATGACAGGAAGTCTGGCACAAATATTAGGCATCAACACCATGTTGAAAAAACATATGCAGCCCAAAAGCTGGCTGCAGTAATTTGTGTGCCTGTTTTCAGGCAAGAATTTGCATTTCCCTCACACAGAAGTAACCCTGCACAGATCCCTTCAGGATTCGAATTTTCAAGTTAATGTTAATCAAAACTTCACAGAAGCTGGCTCACAGAACAGCCCCCTTCCTTCAGTACACTATGTAAAAATGATAAACTCCCAAGAGGTAAATTGTAGCTCCAACAGGGAACTTAAAGAAGAAACTTTCTATGCAATATATTTATCAAATTCACTTACTGCAAAACAAAGGATGCAATAGTGGAACAAAAGCAGCATGATACTCCTTGAAAACCTGGAGACACAACAGCTAAGATTCTACCAAATGTTCTGCCAGAGATTTGCGATTTCTGACGTTCTGAATTTATACAGGAGCTCCCTCTAGTGGTTACAAATATATTACATCCAAAGACTATCTGTCCATAACATGCAAAATAATATATAATTTGGATAAATCCAAAGTGTAATAAAATTGCAGCGTATTTTTATCATTCAGTTTTATCATTTTAATCTCTCACCTGATTGTAGTTCAAAAGTCAATCATCTTCATTCTTTTCTTTTCTTTTTTTTTATAAAAACCTTTTGGTTATTCCTTGTATAGGAGCTCCCTATTGTGGTTACAGACATGTTAAATTTAGAAAATTCAAAAGTAGTTTCTTTGAAAAATAACACTGCAGTCTGTTATGTAACTGAATCTGAATCCACTAGATTCAATCTAAGTTAAATACTCCATTTTCTGATAGATTACAGAAAAGGAGTTGATTTCCACATCCCACTTACTAAAGAGAACAAGAAAAAAGCAGTCCTTTTTCAATTTTAGTGTTTACTCTAATCTTTTTCACTTCTGCATATAAAATGTGAAAGTGTTGTTGTTTAGGTAGGCCACTTGTTTATGAGATGTGAAGCCAATCTGTTCCTCACTGCAAAGAGTTTCTTTGTAATTGCTAAGGCCTTGGCAGAGTGTTCCCCCCCCCCCCCCCCCGGGGGG